GCCTGGAGAAGAAGCTTCTTTGGCTCAGAGGACTCGCAGGTGTCGGAAAATCCGCCATCGTCCAGACCGTTGCCGAGAAGCTGGCTGACCAAGGGCGTCTCGGTGCAAGCCTATTCTTCTCGCGGACAAACGGACGCATAGATCCACGACAGGTCTTTCCTACCCTCGCATACCAATTTGCCGTCCAGGATCCTTCATACAAGAGGTACATTACTAAAGTCAAGCTCAAGGATCCGCAATCACTCGAAAAGGCCATGGGCGAGCAGTTCCGGCTCCTTATTGCGGAGCCGTTTGGTCGCAATGCGGTCACGACAAATGTGTGGGTGGTGACCCTTGATGGCCTAGACGAGTGTGGTGGCGATCGGACCACTGGACGACACAGCGACGATACACAACGTGAACTTTTGCGGCTCATCAGCCAGTTCGTCCTGCATCATCCCTCCACACCTCTGATCTGGATAATTGCCAGTCGTCCAGAGACTCACCTGAAGACCACATTCTCCGAGGACGCCGCAAAGCCTAGCTTCTGGGAAGAGGATGTTCCGATCGATTCCCCCGAGGCTTGTCAAGACGTCGAGAAGTTCTTGCATGATAAATTCATAGAAATCCAGCACCATCACTCTGATCACATTCCTGAAACGACATGGCCAGCCCAGAACCAATTCCTTCGGGTGGCAACAGCAGCGTCTGGTCTGTTTATCTTTGCAGAGGTCATCATCCGCTTCATTGGTGATCCGTCGACTGGGAACCCAGTGGCCCAGTTACGGTGTGTCATTTCTATCATCTCCAAAATTCCGCTGTCCCAGCTTCGACGCAATCCCCTTGCCGTCCTTGATGCGCTGTATGAAGAGATCCTCTCTCGAATACCCCGCGACTTGCTGAAGGTTGCGAAAGACCTCATTGGAACCCTGCTATTCCTCGACCACAAAAGTGCCAAAATCGGGGACTTTGATCTCCGCCGTATTTGCAACTCTCTTAACATTGCAAGAGACAATGCAGTCACCGCCCTCCGTCATTTACACTCGGTCCTATTTTTCAAAAAAGTGAGAGATATTGGCAAGACTCGTCCGCGTTTCTATCATACTTCCTTCCGAGATTTCCTCGAGGATCCGTCTCGGTCCAACGAATACTTGATCGACGTCGGGGAGTGCGGGTCGGCTTTGTTCTGGGGTTCACAGGCCCTCGTCGATGCTACGGTTTGTTGTGAGTCAAGCAGGCATTTATCAGTCAACATCGATTCATCTGCTGTTGTCAGTTCGACAAATCTTGTTGCCCTGGCCCAGTGATAAAGACAATAATTCAAGGTGGCCCGTAAAATTGGCTGCCGATCGGATGAATGACATTTGCAAACACTATTCACCATCCAATTGTCTGGTGCCATTCTACTCCATCCATGTTACTGTTCCACAGACCCATCTCTCATCACTTCTCGAAAACGCCAACTACCGACAATTGCTGGAGATAAATCCTTACCATGTGGGGTACTTTCTGCATCGCGTCGTGGTATGTATTACGCCAGGTTATCCTTAATTATACCCCGAGGTCGAATACCTACTAATCTTATATGCAGTACGATCGTATGTGCGAAGCCACACTGGGTGCTCTACGGGAACATAAAGTCGTGACATACGCAACCCTTCCCTCGCTCGGCGTTGACAAGGCCCGCCTAATGAATTCTACCA